TATGAGTCCAGGTCTGCCTGACACAAAGCCCGTGTGCTCTCGGCCTCTCTAGCAGCCACTCCCCAAAATGGGTCAGAGGTCAACCTCCACCCTCTACCCTCCCTCTCCTCAACAGCATCCAAAAACCTGCCTAGCATCACCTCCAACCGAGTGAAATGACAACAGGCCAACAGGATCTCCAGAGCGGGGCTTCTTTGGAGGAAAAACGTCCTTGAGAAGTCCCGGGGAAGAGAGAAAGATGATGTCATACCCTCTGGGGGAAAGGAATGGTAGAGACTCTTGGTCTGGGGGATGATAAACTTTCATCCTGGGAGGGAAGCTGGGCAGAGAAGAAGATGGGAAATGTGTTGTTCTGGTCTCATTTAAGTGTGATCAATGCTTTGGCTTTCAGGGAAGGACACAGGAGACTAAAAATAACTGGGAGTTAGAACCCAGGGCTCAGAGGATGAGAGGTGGCTGGCCTGGGTGAGTGTGCAGAAATCACCACTGGAAAATGCCCGCAGGCTCAGAAGCCAATTAGCTGCTGCCTGGGTGGAGAGAAGAGGGACAGGCAGAAGGCCAAACTCTGCAGGCCCTACAGGGCTGGAGGGTTCACTACTTAGCAGGAGGCAAGGCCCGGCCCGGGAACCAGCGTGCCTGACACCCTGGGCGTGGAGAGGCCCCTGCAACGTCATGTGCCTTCTCCCTGGCTTGCCGTCACCCCCAGACCACTCTCAAGGCTTCTTGTCTCACTGAGATCCTTGGAGGAAGAGATCCCCACAACAGATTCTTAGTCTCAAGGGGAATGTCATCTCTCAGGAAAATACAAACCATCATGAACTAAGGACACCCAAGTCCTTCTCCCCTCCCAGGGCAACTATAAATCTTTCTTCTCCCCTTTCATGCTTTCCCTCTGGCTTTAATTAGGTATTGATCTATTGTCAGATAACTTTCTTTTTTTTTTTTTAACTGCCTAGCCATGGGGTCAGCCCTATATAACAGGAAAAAGAAAAAAAAAAAAAAATCCCAGGGTGGCCAACGGGCAGGCAGTGGGATCTGCATGACAAAGGATTCCCACGCTCTCACTCTCCCTGGCGGCAGGGCTGGCCGCAAAGGCTGCACTGCAGGGCTGCACAGGGCTGGCTGCCCATTAATTACCGTCTGGACAGAGGAAGCCCCAGCCTCCTCGGGGCTGGCCTCTCTCCTCCACGTGAGTCCCCACAAACCGGGCCAGATTCTGCTCCCTCGGCCTCCCTGGCGGGATCCACCAGGACAGGGAGGCGGCAGGGAAGCCCCCAGGGTCCAGCTTCCGTGCACTGACCTTTCCCTCACCCTAAGGATGGATGAGAGTCCTGACCCCAGGACCAGAGGTCAGTCTGGATTGGGGCAGGATTATGGGATGGGGGCGTGACTGGTTACTTGTGTGACCCTGGGCACAGCTCCTGAATTCTTTGGGCTTCAGTTTTCATATCTGTGAAATGAGGAGGTTAGTCTGAGGCTTTCTAAGTTTTGAACAGTGAGACACTGTTTTCAAAGAAACCTGACTCACACCCCTACCCCACGGTGCAGAGAGCTGCTCTGGCTGAATGGGGATGGGACCTTGGGAGTAAAGTCTGCCACCCACTGGAGGGCATCTCAAGGGTTCCTTCCAGATCAGAAATACAATAATCCAAGTCTTGGCCTAAGATCCAGGGTCTGAGGTTCGGATCCTGGTTCTAGAATCTGGAAGGTGACAATCTGGATCCACCTGCCCTCCATTTGTGGTAGAAAGACTCTCCTTGGGCTTCCCTGGTGGCGCAGTGGTTGAGAGTCCGCCTGCCGATGCAGGGGACGCGGGTTCGTGCCCCGGTCCGGGAAGATCCCACGTGCCGCGGAGCGGCTGGGCCCGTGAGCCATGGCCGCTGAGCCTGCGCGTCCGGAGCCTGTGCTCCGCAACGGGAGAGGCCACAACAGTGAGAGGCCCGCGTACCGCAAAAAAAAAAAAGAAAGACTTTCCTTAAGTGACTGCAGATTAGACCTGGACTATAGGGACTAAGAGAGGTCAAGTATAAATGTACGTATGCATATCAATAAAGTAAGACACGTCATCCCAGGACAGAAAGCCAGGGCCAGGCAGGATTCCCGATGAACGGAATGGATCACAGTTCAATAAAGGCCAGTGTGAACTCCTGGAGGTCATGGGGGCAGAGGACGAGGAGAGAAAGGCGAGCCGGAGTGACACGCCACACCTGTACACAGCAGCAAATCAAAGGATCAGCGCTAGTCAGGGCTATGAATTTTCCCCCAAAACCCTGGGTCCATGCCAGCACGGGGATGAATTGGTGACTTTGCCATAATGCACAGCTGCGATAATTTTAGCCTGGAAAATTTAAAGCAGGTGTTCTCCAGCATCTCCCTTAGCCGTTAAAAAAAACCCCAAACAAATCCAAATAAAAACTGGCAGAACATCTACCTTTAAGCAGTACAACTTTATTTATGTATGTACTCTTTCACTTAGTTTACAAATATTTGTTGCTTACCATGTACCAAACCCTGTGCTAGGCTCTGGGGATGCATCCATCGCTTCTGATCTATATAATCTATCATAAAGCTGGGCAGAGCAGCGAAGAGACTGGATCTTAAAGCATTTAAACTCAGCCCTGTAATCATTAGCCAGAAGTGAGATGCACGTTGGCTTTCAAGCATTGGCTAGAAGCACCGGGCGGAGGAAGGGTTTCCACTCCAGTCCTAGGGCTTCTTGGCTGAGCAAATAGAGTCATTTTACCTCTTTGAACTGCCTATAAAATGGGGGTGTCAGCACCTACCTCATAGGATGTTGTGACGAGAAGAGCAGATAACATACGTGTGAACCATTTATCACATACCTGGACTACCAGACACGCTCAGCAGGGGTTAGTTATTATTGTTACAAAATGCGATGGCCTTGGATTTGGAATATTTTCATTGGGCAGGAATTAGAGAGCAGGGGTCAATGTCTATTAAGACCTCCCTTGGTTTCTGACAAATTATGTGCATAAAGGATAAGGCCTGCCTTTTAATTCTCGTAACACTGTGATAGTGTTAGAGCACAGCCTTTGAGGTCAGATAGCCTGGATTAGAGCCCAGCTCCACCACTTATGACTGTATCTTCTTAGGCAAGTCACTTAGCGTCCCTAAGTCTCGGTTTCTGTATCTGTAACAGATGGAGAGTTAACAGTTCCTGCCTCATGGAGTTGTCGTGGGGATTAAAAACAGCCTGCACAGGACAGGGACCTGATAAGTATTGGCTATCCGGTCAGGGTCTGGCTGTCTGAACAGGACCCCCTCTCTGAGGAGGGATGCACACAGAGCAGAGAGGGAGGAAGGGGTACAGGCAGGTCAATCAACTCAATCCTGGAGATCAGTGACTTGATGTGCGGTGACCAGAATGCCCTCTGCTCTGAATCAATGACTCAGATAGAACAGCACATGTAGTTTGCTTTGCAATACAGCCCCACACCCTCAGGTTTAGTTGGAAAGCCCCCGTCTGCCTTTACACCATCTCCTTCTGCACTGGCATCACTGGGAAGTGATACCTGCACTGTCTTCCCGCTGCGTGTCATCTGGTTTGGGCGAGGACTGAGTCATCTTGAATCTATGTCTGTCTTCTAGGTTACTGGCACTCCCATCTAATTAACTACCAACTGCAAGTGTTACGAGCATCTTTCCTGTTCCTCGCCATTAACCATCTGGGTCTCTGAGTATGTCGGCATGGAAAATGTGGCTCTAAATCCCCAGATGTCGACACTCAGGGGTGTGTCAGTGGCTAAGTAAGTCTGGCACACAGAGATGTTCATCAGACCTTTTTTCAAGGATGCAGACGGTGCTGGATTCTGGGAGAAGCTGGTGTGAGTGCTGTCCAAGGTGGCCAAGTTCTTAACCTCAGCACGGGAGTGAAGGAGACGGCACTGGGCCAATCTCCCAGGCTGAGGGTTCACGAACTAGCAGACCAGCCTCTCATGGGATGGGGGTGTGTGGTGGGACCCTTCCCTCTTTGATTCCTGAAGTCATTCCACTTACTTCCAGGGTCCCTGCCTGACCACTGTTTACAAAGCTGACTCTGCCCTGCTCTCCTGATGACAACTTCAATGCCACTCAGAAAGGATTAAGATCTTACTTAAACGTACACACAAAGCTCCCCTGGGTACAGCTGTCAGGGGGGAAGAGCTGAGGCGGCAAACCTTGTAAAGAGAAAAGCCAGCGATAAAGGTGGAAACATCACGAGGGAGATCCCTCTGTTCAGAGGCCCAGTTGGTGCAGACTTTTCCTGCAGAAATCTGCTCCGCTCTCCCCACCTCATCCCAGTGCACCTCCCCTGCCACTGGGGAGGGGATAGGGGGCTGGCCACTACCCTCAAGCCCACAGTGATTACTATCATCACCAGCCACGTGTGCTGAGCCAGCCAGGGCCCCAGACTCCTCCAGCTGGCACGAGTGCCCACTGCCTCCTAGGCCAGACTCTCTCCGGCCAGCCGTGGGTCAATCAAGGGCCAGCCCGGGCAGAGGCAAGATCCCCCTTAGGGTACAGGTGCTGGCCTGGCCAGGGGAGGTACCTGGCTCCAGCCACTCCTTGGATGTCCCCACAGGGATCTCACCTCCCTTGCACGGTTTATTTCATACTTCACCTCACTCCACCCTCCTCACGCACGCCTGGCAGGCAGATCTCATCAGTTCCCTCTTAAAGCTTAACAGGGCCAAGAGAAGGTAAGGCATGTCCCCAAGTTCACACAGCTGCAACACGGCAGTGTGAAGACTGAAACTCCGGTCAGTCTGCCTGTTCCAAATGCTGTGCTCTCCCCTCCTTTGTCACCACATGCCTCCCTCTCTGGGTGGCAGTTCCCAGTATCCCCAGGGAAGTGGGGAGATTTGCCTGGAGGCCAAGCCTAGTAGTCAGGAGCCTGGATGGTGAGGGTCCTCTGGAAGTTGGGGCTTGCTTGACCTCATGGGGTCTCCTAGCCGCCCTGGGGAGGTTCACCCCTGGGGACACGGGGCCCACCTGCCTACCTGCCACGACACCAGCCACATAGACAAGCGCAATGCGGGTTGCTCCGTGCACCATCTCCAGGGGTACCCCCACCAGGAGCTGCAGCACCACGTTGAGTCCCAGGTGTTCTATCCTGTACAGAGAGATCACATTCATTCATCCATTCATTTAGCATGCCACGATGCTGGGGATCCAGTAGTGAACAAGACCCTATAGCTGGGAGACCTGGTGGTCTAGTGGTTAGGACTCAGTGCTTTCACTGCTGTAGCCCGGGTTCAATCCCTGGTTGGGGAACTGTGATCCCACAAGCCGCGCTGCATGGCCAAAATTAAATTAAAAAAAAAAAAAGACCCTATAGCTGCCTTTGAGGAGCTCACAGTCTAGGGGGTGGAGAGGAAGGAATTACAATGCAGACAGACCATTTTAGAGTGTTCCTTCCACCCTCCCTGCCAGCTGGGACAGGAACACAGGTACAGGGCTGGGGGGTGACTGGCAGTGTCTGCACTTGCCAATGAGGGGCTAACAACCGTCAAGATCCAGCAACTCTAGGGAGGGTGGGAGGGAGGGAGATGCAAGAGGGAAGAGATATGGCAACATATGTATATGTATAACTGATTCACTTTGTTATAAAGCAGAAACTAACACACCATTGTAAAGCAATTATACCCCAATAAAGATGTAAAAAAAAAAAAAAAAAAGATCCAGCAGCTCCATCAGTTGACACAAGAGAAGCTGAGGCTGTGTGACTTAAAGTCACACAGCTGGTTAGTGGTCAGGCTGGGACCACGGCCCTGGTCTCTCATGTGCGGGACCTGGTCCATTATCCAGGCTACTCAGTCGCTCCGGCTCGCTATTGTATTTGTAAGACCTACTGATATTTAAAGAGAAACAGGTTTTCCAAACAAGTGCAAGCACGAAAGACATCTGTTAGAGCTTAGTATATCAAAGTTATCCTCCAGTTCCTGTGGTGTCCAGATCTTCGCTCATGAGGAGACTGAAGCATGAAGTGCCTCCCCGACCCTGCTCCTCAGCCTGTGAAGCTGAAGCTGGGACACAGCAGGCAAGGCATCCATCCGCTCAGGCTCAGAGTGGAGACATCCATCAACAACCATCCAGAAGTCTCCTCACGCCAAAGCACCCTTCCCAGCACGTGCAGCCCGTTAGGGGGTGGCTCTTGTGCCCCCTTTAGCGGCTCAGCAGGAAGGGAGGCTCACAGTGGAGCTTCCTCTTGGCCACTGTGGGTCTTTCTGCCAAGGAAAGAGCCATGGGGGCCGGGATAATCCTCTCCCCATTGGCAATCCCAGGGACAGGCACCCACAGGGCTTTCCCATCACTTCTCTAGAAGAGTCTGTAGAAGACACCGCAGAGGTCTGGTGTCTGGGGACTCTGATTTCCCAACTCCATGCTTCTACTATGTAAAAACAGTCTCCAGCCAAGACCATGCTCTTCAAGGGACTTGGACCTGGGTGGTCGCCTGGTCCTTATCATGGGGTAGGAGGTACCAGTGAGAACTGATTGCACTCCAGGCCCCAAAAAAGGCCACACGGCTCTACAAACAGAAACTTTAAGTATTGCCAGAGTTCCTCAAGAAGACTCATGCCACCATATTGCGAGACCTCCTTTCAATAAATCTGTCCTTTATTTCACTTATGGGGCACTCACACACATGGTTTATGGACAATGAACCTGGCGGCGGACCACATTTCCCTCTTTGCTTTGGCCGCTAGGAAGTTCAGAATAAATTTATAACCCACTTACAGCAAGTACATAGCATCACATGCTGTGTATATGCTGAAAAGCTCTCTGCTGGCTTTTTAGCATTTTCCTCTCTCTATTTTCCCTTTCCCATACACTTTTTTTTTAAATAAATTTATTTACTTTATTTATTTATTTTTTGGCTGCCTTGGGTCTCCGTTGCTGTGCACAAGCTTTCTCTAGTTGCAGCGAGTGGGGGCTGCTCTTCATTGCGGTGCACATGCTTCTCATTGCGGTGGCTTCTCTGGTTGAGGAGCACAGGCTCTAGGCACGCGGGATTCAGTAGTTGTGGCACACGGGCTCAGGAGTTGCAGCTCGCAGGCTCTAGAGAGCAGGCTCAGTAGTAGTGGCGCACGGGCTTAGTTGCTCTGCGGCATGTGGGATCTTCCCAGACTAGGGCTCAAACCTGTGTCCCCTGCATCGGCAGGCGGACTCCCAACCACTGCGCCACCAGGGAAGCCCCTCCCATACACTCTTAATAATTTACTCATACAGTTTGGTATTAGATAAGTTTCAAGAAGCCACCTCAAATCCTGTGTCCAGGTAGATAAAAATAAAAAATATATTTCAATCCAGGCTCTCTGGACCAGTTATTTTCCCACAGGGACTCTTGATAGAGTGTACTCACCCCGCATGCATGAAGATGTAGGTCAGGTAACGCCAAGCCTGTGCTCGGAGCTGTGGATGGTAAACCAGTGAGTTCTTCAGGTATCGTGGATGGGTTACCTGCAGCACAAATTGGTCCAGCGACACCCCATTATAGAGGAAAAAGGCAACCTGGATGAGAGCACAGAATGAAGAGAGCCTGTTACTAGATGTGAAACTGCCCAGGAACCCCTCTTGTGCTGACCTTTGGAATCCCTACGGAAGGAGGGACATCCCTACGACCAGAGCCAAGCTAGCTCTGCACCATCTCTTACCCCACTTCTGTTCGATTATTTTGTTAAATGTTCACAAAATGGTCTCTGCTCACATTTCCTCGGTGTTAAGCAGGAAGGGTTTGTAGGATTTTAAACTTTAATTCAGATAATAACTCACATACCCACTTGGGGGCTGAGGCAATTCCACATAAGTTGATTAAGAAAAAAAAAACTGTGGTAAAATACACATAAGGTAAAATTTACCATCTTAACCATTTTAAGTGTACGGTTCAGTGGTATTACATACATTCATAATGTGCAACCATCACCAACATCCATTTACAGCATTCTTTTCATCTCGTAAAACTGAAAGAAACTCTATACCCATTAAACATTAATTCCCATTCCCTGCCTCCCAGCCCCTGGCAATCACCATTCTGCTTTCTGTTTCTATGAGTTTGACTACTCCAGGGACTGCATATAAGTGGAATCATACAGTATTTGTCTTTTGTGGTTGGTTTATTTCACTCAGCATAACGCCATCAAGGTATAGCCCTGTTGTAACACATGTCAGAATTTCCTTCCTAATAATCCTCTGTATGTATCTACCACATTTTGTTTATCCATTCATCTGTCAATGGACACTTGGGTTGCTTCCACCTTTTAGCTATTGTGAACAATGCTGCTATGAACATGGGTGTACAAATATCTCTTTGAACCCCTGTTTTCAATTCTTTTGGGTATACACCCAGAAGTGGAATTGCTGGACCATGTGATTCTGTTTAATTTTTTTGAGGAACTGCCATACTGTTTCCCACAGTGGCTGTACCATTTTCCATTCCCACCAACAGTACACAAGTGTTTCAATTTCTTTGAATTCTCACCAACACCTCACATAATTGTTCTTTTTTTTTTTTTGGCTGCACTGTGTGTCATGCAGAACTTCCCCGACCAGGGATTGAACCTGTGCCCCCTGCAGTGGAAGCGTGGAGTCTTAACCACTGGACCGCTGGGTAAGTCCCACATAAGTTAATTTTAAAGATGACTGATGTGTACTTGTTTAAGCCCTAAGAGAGTATTTATTTGAACTATTTTTTCCTGGAACTCTTTTTCTTTCTTTAAATATTATTTATTTATTTGGTTGCGCTGGGTCTTAGTTGCAGCAGGTGGGCTCCTTAGTTGCGGCTCGCCAGCTCCTTAGCTGTGGCATGTGAACTCTTAGTTGCGGCATGTATGTGGGATCTAGTTCCCTGACGAGGGATAAAAACCAGACCCCCTTCACTGGGAGCATGCCACCAGGGAAGTCCCCTGGAACTCTTTCTAGAATGCAAAATTCACGTCCCTTAATTTTAAGGATGTCTCAGGTATTGATCTGGGCTATAGAAGTGATGTCTTCTCCAGTAACTGATAGGGGTTTTGCTCCTATACTAAATGGTCCCAAATTCTTGTGTTTCTTTACGACTCAGGTTTGCTTTTACATTTTCTTTTGTCCTCTCCCGCAATGCCTGGGTGTCAGCATGTTGTTGACCAGGTACTACAACAAGGTTCTTACTTCCTATTGTTGGTTGGTAGGGGGACCCTTCTAGTAGCTTCCCACCATGTTCACTCTGTTATGGACTCAGAAAACCAGGTTACTAGAACTGTATGTAAAACAAAAACCTTGGGCTTTAGTATAAGGACTCTGAAACAGTTATTTCATCATTTTCCAGTTTCTTCTAGATTGGTGGCTCGAGATTACACAGCTGAGGTTTCTGAAAATCTGAAACCAATCTGGACACAAGATCTGACTCCTCTGGATGACCTTGGGCAAATTATTTTAATTTACTGGTCCTCAGTTTCCCCATCTGCAAATGGGGATACTAATTCTTACACTTCCACGGTGATCGTGAGGTTTAAAAACGATAAAGTACGTGAGGAGCAGGCATGCACTGAGGGAAGGCAGCTGTAATTAGTGTGTGGCTAAGCCCTCCCAGGCTGAGCCTGGGAATGGCTCAGGCCTCCCAGCAGCTGGACTCCCGGGGCTCTCTGGGAGCCGTTCTGTCCACCTAACACCATGAGTACAGGTGGCCTGGGAGCAAATACAGCTTCCAAGACAGCTTGTTATTATTGGTCCTCAAATAGAAGTTAATAAATAAATAGACCAACACAGTAAGTGCTTGGAAAACAAGTCCAAGAATATCTCAGAAAAATCACAACTTCCACATGTACTTGGATGAAGCCAGAACAACACAGGAGCTCTAGCCTGCAGTCCAGATATTATGACTTAGAAAAAAAGAAGAGCGACGCCATGAAGCTTAATGATCCTGCGGTTTGATTCAGCAGGAACTTTACAAGAACATATGCAGGGGCGGTAAGTAGGCCCCTGGTTCTGGAAGAGAAACGATGGAGATTATAAAACGCCCAAGGGAAGCCAAGCATTGGTTCGTTCAAGACCTGGGGTTGGGAGGCCCGCTGGTTCTTGGGCTGAGGAGCGCAAAGCATTCAGAGCTCCTCATACAGGAGCGCTGATGCAGGTGGTGCTTTGGATTCTGCGGCATAAGCATGAGACTTTTAGAATAACAATAGGTATGGATGATTTCCTAAGGGGAGAATGTTCTTGCAAAATACGTGAAGCCCACATCTACCTGTTCATATAGGCTCCCTCCCATATGTATTTGTGCAATGCTTTTGTGTTCAGAAAGCACCACCTGCCGTTCTCTGGCTCTAAATAGGGGAGTCCTGTGGGAAAAGGAGGGCAGGTCTGGTTATTCCTACTTTACAGGTGTCCCAGGGGAGCACATGACTCGTCCGGGTTACTCACTCCAGGAGGAACTAAAAGAAGGTGTCTTCATGAGTTAGCCTGGCTAAATCCCCCGAATCAATGAACTAGTGACATTGTTTTTGCTGCTGTTGGTGGAGGTGGTCACACGGGGATTTTGCTGCAGGGTAATGATCTCTGTAATCTCTCTATGGTCCAGGGGTTATAACAACACTTGCGTGCCCTGTAACAGGGCCTGACTTGCAGTAACTTGCCCTTCCCCTCGTGATCTCAGATATCCTCTTGACCCTCCGGCAGCCCCTTCCCCACCCTCGTCCTTGCCTCCAGCAGCGTTACTGTGATCATGAACCAGGGCGGTGGGCAGCAGGTGTAGCTGTCGTAGTACCACTTCCGGTCAATCTCCCGGGGCAGGGTCTCGTATGCCACGTGGCGGATCAGTCGCTGGGAGAAGTTCAGCCCCTTCTCCTCCAGCAGGGCCTTGCTGCAGAGCCTGCGGTTGCCCTGCAAGATGGCCTGGCGGAAGCTGTTGGACCGCTTGTTGCTCATCTACACAGGAAACAGGGCAGGGGAGGGGGGTCAGAACCGGAGTCTCAGGGGAGCCCCATCCCGTTTTCCCAGCCAGCACATTCCTTAGACCAACCAGGCCTGATTCTACCTTCCTCTTTCTTCTGTAATAATAGTTAACAAGAAGTTAAATGTAATAGTTAACAAGAAGCAATATTCACTGAGCTCTTATGTGTCAGGGGCTGTTCTAAGCACACCACAGCTTGGCTCATTGATGCAACTAGTCTGCCTGCTAGATAAAGACCATGAATATCCCCATTCCACCAGACAGGAGACCAAAGCACAGAGAGTTTTAGGAATCCATCAAGTTCAAACCCAGTAGGGCTCCAGAGCCTGTATTCATATCCACTATACCTCCCTTCCACCCACTTGTCCATTATCCATCACAATTTCCTGAGCAACTACTAAGCATCAGGTGTTGCCAGATATGGGGATACAGTGGTGCTCAAGACAGATAAGTAACCAGCAATAAGTAACGGTTCAGAGTGAAGGCTGCTGCGGGAGCACACGGGAAAGAGTCCAACCCGGTCCCAAGGTAGTCAGGGAGGGCTTCCTGAAGGAGGTGGCATGAGTGAGAACTGAAGGATAAGTAGGGGTCAGCATCCTTGGTCCCCGGAACCAGAACCCAAAGCTGTGCTTGTGGAAGATCATCAGCCCTGAGTGCCTCCAAGGGAACTGTGATGCTCAGGGAGCCCCAGGACTGGCCCCTCCCCAGGCAGAGTCCTGGCTGCCTCACCCAGCCGTCAGCCTGACCCCCAGAGATCAGAGGCGGTCCTACTGACTTCCAGCCTCCCAAGGCTTCTGTTATCTCCCACCCACCCTCCACGTCCACACTCTAGACCCTTCCTACGGGGAGATGTCCTAAAGACACAGCTCTCCCAACCCCAGAGCTCACAGTGCCACCCAGGGGCTGCTCTGTGGTTGCTGGGTGGGGATTATCAACATATTCCTGGGACTGTGGGCCCAGCAGGGACATCAGGTTAAAACTGAAGCCAGGAGTCCAGACAGGGCTGGGGAGGTGAGCCAGCCCAACCAAGGCACATGGGTTTGAAGCCCTGTCAGGGGGCAGGGAGCTGGGGAGGATCTGGGTTCAGACCAGGCCAGGTGGAACAAGCCTCCATCTGCAGTGCCCCGTCCCCTCTCCTGGGTTCGGCACACACCTGAAAAATCTGGCTTAAGCCTCCCCCATCCAGCAGGCCTTCCTGGATGAACCCCTTCCAACGATGCCCTATTCCCATCCCCTCCACGCCTGCAAAGCTTGGGTCTGGTTCTTACTGGCTTGGCGGTTCTGTAAATGCGGATAGGACTTGGGGCTCCATGATCACTACAAGCCCAAGATAAGACCATGTCATCAAATTAGTTTGTAGCCGTCCTCTCCCCCAATCCCTGGATGTGTACATGCACATGTGCGTGTACCACACATATACTCACAAACAATACATCTGCAAGACCCGTGGTGGGAAGGAGCTCAGCATAAATACAGGAGAAGCAGTGTGTACACACATACACACTCACCATTCAGCTGTGCCCCGATGTGCCTAGAACTGTGCCGGGCACAGCAGCAGCCATGGTCTCTGGCCTCACGGAGCATACAGGAGAGACAGATGCATAAACGGCAGCAAAAGAGGATGTCATCTTCATCATTTGGTGCGTAGTATTATCCCCACGTTATAAAGACGGGGATGAGAGCTCGGAGAGCGTAAGTAATTTCCTCAAGGACCCACAGTTAGTAAATCACAGAGTCAGGATTCAAATCCAGATCTGCCTGACTCTGGAGCCCATGCTGGCTCATGTGGAGCTTTTGTGCCAATTAGATAAGGGAGCCTCTCCTTCCAGGTGGATGTACCCATTCCAGGCCTTGCTGAACAAAGCCCAGGCCAGATTTCAGTCCCCATTCCTCTCTCTGCCCGGCATCCTTGTGCAGTCCACAACCTGCACACCCATACATGACAACCCTGGCCACTCAGCTGTAATGCAATGTGGTCTGTGCTATAAGACAGGCCTGTGCAAAGCACTGCGGGGGCTCTGGGTAAGGTTGGTTCATTCTGCCTGGGTTGGGGTGGGAAAAGGCTCACAAAGGATGCAGAGGAGTTAACCTGGTGGAAGAACATTAGAGGCAACAAAAACTTTCGAACGCTTCTTCTTATTTAATCCTTGCCACAACCCTGAAGAGGGTCTCCTTTGGCTTCATTTTACAAATGGGAAAACCGGGGCTCAGTTTCGCCACTGAGTGGCAAAGGCAGAGCCTGTCGCAGGACCCAGGCCCACCTGACTCCAGTCCCTGAGCTCTCTGCCCTGCCCAGAGCTTCTCCCCTGAGGAACCCCTTCTTAGTCTTGGCCTCCAGGGCAGCCCTGCTCACAAGAATCCAGGCTATGGCTGGCTGCTCCAGCTCAGAATTCAAATAGAGAAATCTCGATGGTAACAAGTAATCTGCTGTTGTGAATTCACACGGACGACTCCACGAACCCCCAGCTGGAGAGAAGCAGCTCCCCTGGCCCAGCCATGCCCTCACTCTGCCCTGGGCTGAGCAGGGCATGCAGCAAACATGCTGGCGCTGGGGCTGTGGACGAGCCGATGCAGGCTCAACTCCGTGGCCTGGTCTTTGCTGGCACTGCTGGGTTCCCAGTCATGGGGCTCACCTCCATGGCCCATCCCATGAATCCCAACTGTCCCCAACTCCCCTGCTTATCTGAGCTCTGCACCCCCGCCCTCTGGGAGATCTGCTCCCTGGGTCCACTCTGAACAGCAGGTTTCTTCACCACTAAAAGCCCTACAGCTGCTCCCTGCAATCACGCTAACCTCTGGGCAAAGGCAGGTCCTTATATCAAGAAGCAATTAAAACAATGCCAAAGCCCACGCATCCACATCAGAGAGCAAACCTGGCACGATGGCAGGTCCTGGCTCCTCCATCACTGATACTTTTGAATTCCAAGAGCCTGGGGACTTCACACCAGTCATTTCATGGGTGACAAGAAGAGGGGCGACTGTTTCCATTTCACCAATAGGGAAACCAAGTGGGGCCTTCCAGCCTCGTGTTCACGCTGCTAGTTCATGCAGCTTCTACTCATGTGCCATCCTCCCCACAGAGGGATCCTTCCTGCTTAACCCCACTGAACCCCACTCCAATCCCGCCATAGTAGCCCCTGGGACAGCACAGCAGTAACCCCAGTGAGGAGGAAGTCCGGACTCCAAGACACCAGACCACTGGGCAGGACTCACGGACCTCCCGTCTCCAGCCCCTCCGACAACCCAGGACAGCTGCCGGCAGGTCTGAGGAGCTCCGGCCTTCACCCATGCGCCCCGTTGCTCCCGAAGGGTCTGCCCTGATCCTCCCAACATCCACTCCCCAGCTCCTCTCCTGCCAACGATAACCTCCCACCTCCCACTCCAAATCCTTCCTTTCCATGGAAATGACCCCACTCCCAGCTCCACGGGTGGACACTGATTGGTTTGATTCAATCAGCACAACCCACTGACCCAATCTAGGCCAACTGGAGGAAGGAAATCCCAGGCCTCACGTGGGAGCTACCACACGAAAAGTCCCTCTCCTCCCCTGCGTGGTGAGGCCTGAGGGCATGAAGGCTGGAACAGCTGCAGCCACTTTGCTGCCACGATGGTAGGGTCTGGAATTGCCTGGGGCTTTTTTGAGTAGTGCTGACACTGCAGAAAGCAGAACTGACAGATAAAGAGAAATTGGGTCTTTGGTGATTTCCTTTCACCTGCTGAAGCCTGGACTTTTTCAGTGCTGCAGACCAACAGATCCCATTAATTATCCAAAAGGATCCTCTAAGCCACACCCCCAAACAGGCCTCTCCCAGTGGCGAGGGGCCCAGAGCGCTCACCAGGTTGACAAAATCCTGGTAGCAGATCTGCCCATCGGCATGGCTGTCGGCGAGAGCCAGCAGCACCTCCCTCTTGTGCGGGTCCAGCTTGGAGCTTTGGCTCTCCAGGAGGCTCCGGAACTTACATGTGCTGATGTAGCCCGTGTTCCCAGGGTCAAACTGAGGGAGAAGCACACACACCAGCGGGGTCAGCAGGGCTCCGTCTCCCTCTCCACACTGCCCCGGGTGCCCCATCACCGTCACCACCCACGGCTCCTGTCTCCGGCCCTCTGCTGACAGAGGGCTAGGCGGCATCTGGGATGTTTCCAAGGCCCCCAGGGGAAACACCCAAATAGGGCGGACAACCACTTACAACCCTAGAAGGCCCTGGAGACCTCTGAGATCGCCCAGCGCAGCCCTGTGGTGCGTGGAGAAGGGAAACGGAGGTTCAGAGAGGTTATTACTCTCTGCCCTTACTCCTGACCCTGGACAAGGGGAAAGAGGGAATGAAAAGGCGATGAGTAGAGGAACATGAGGAAATCTGGGGCCTGGGGCAGAGGGACTGAGCGGGGAAGGCACGAGGCCCCGGGCAGCACAGCCTGCACAGCGCTTCCGCATCTGCCTGCCAGCCCCTCTCCCACGCCTGCACCCACGTACACCCCACACAGGGCTCCCCAAAGACACTGCGCTCTGAGTGTTTGGTTGCTTTTCTTTATTTTGGGGCCATGCCACACAGTATGTGGGATCTTAGTTCCCAGACCAGGGATCGAACCCGCGCTCCCTGCACTGGAAGTGCGGAGTCTTAACCACTGGACCACCAGGGAAGTCCCTGGTTGGATTTTTGACGCTGCCCTTTTCCCTCTGCAGCTTTGCACACGTGGGCACCTCTGCCTAAGACTCCCTCTCTCCCCTTGTCTCCCTGGGAGACTCCGACTCACCCTTCCGACTCCTCAGATGTCCCGCGTCCAGGGAGCCTTCCCCCAACACATGATCTGCATCCCCTGCATGTCAGACAGCCCTCTGGCCTCCACCCTGCACTGGCCTCCATTTTCAACTCCTTGCAGGTTGGTGCACAACTTTCCCCGGGGCTTATAGCACAGAGCCGGGCAGAGTCGGCACTCAGTGAAGATTTGTTGGGTGAACAAGTGGATGTTTGGGTGAAAAGACAGGTACCCATTTTCCAAGGAAAGGCTCACAGGTTCAGTTAGAAAAGGGGGCTTATTCATCTCTCCCAGAGAAGCACATAAGCTTTCTGTCACCCTTCCATCGCCTCTCCTTCCCTGCAGAGCCCAGTGTCCCCACTCAGTACACACTAACGAGCTGCCAGGTTGCCCAGGGAAGTCCTGTTCACAAACCTCGTCCCCACATGAATTCACTGCACACGGAGGTGCTGCTGAGGGTTGCTGAGATATTAAAAGACAGACAGACGTCCGCGTGTGCGTGACAAGGGAGCCCGCAGACCGAACCCACCTTTCCCTCTCTTCTGGATAAGGTCAGTGAAGACTATTTTCGGAAGGCTGATGCTGTGCGCAGGCTGTCTAAGACAATCCAGGAGAAACGGCCAAGAGTCACAAGTCACGACTCCTTCAATTCTCCCCAGAACTCATCGAGAGAGGACATCTCTAATGAGGCCTATTTGAACATCTGCCTGGGTACCCAATCCTCCACCCAAAATGCCAGATTTCAGGGATGACACCTCTTCGGTTCCCACCATCGAGTACTTTAGGAAACTCACCTACCCTCTGTTCCAGAAAGACCTTTACGAGTAAACACGCCTAATATTTGCTGAGTGTTTTCATGGGGCCAAACACCACACCAAGCACTTCATGTAAATATATGATTTCTTTGACCTCCTGCCGCGACCTTGTGAGCGGGTCCTATGGTTATAGCTCCACGTCACAGATGAGGAAGTAGAGACACGGGAAAACGAGCACAGAGAGGTTAAGTGACACGTCTGCAAGTGGCAGAGCCAGGATTCCAGACCCGGGCAGCCCGGCACTGCCTCTAACCACTGGCTGCCGCTGACCGTCAGCCTCTAGGGCCTCTGCTCTGCTGCTCAGAAGCCAGATGTCAAGGGTCAAAGAGGTGAGTGCAGGCCCGGGAGTGGAGGGGCTCCAGGAGCCACACAGGCCCACTCTACACAGATTTTTTAAGCAGGAAAGAGCTCAAACAGGAACAGTTCTGATCTCCTTATAGCTCAGACAGGAAATGACGCCTGGAGTGGCAAAGCGGAGACGGCAGCTAGGGAGGGTCTCCTTCTCTGCCTGGGACCCCTCCCGTCCCCACAGGCTGGCACTGGCTACAGGGACTCACCAGCCTGGCCCCTGCCTGGGCCCACGTGGCCCTCGTACTGGGTGGGCTGACGTGGGGGATGAGAAGCAGCCCCGAGCCCTGGGAAGATCCATCCCCTCCCTAACCCTCCCCTGGTGAGCACGGCAGGGGGCAGTGGGCTGCTCACAGCAGGGAGCCTCTGCTGCCCAGCCCGGGGGCGGGGGAGCCAATCCCCGCCCCGGGGGCCCATCCGCGGCTGGGGTGGGGGGCAGTGGGGTGGAGGCGCTGGGATCAGGCAAGGGCCCCTCTCCCTCATTCCAGCTCCAGACAAAGGACCACCTGCTCCCCTGCTCTCCCTCCCCCTCCAGGGCTCCCTGCTGTCATCCTAGTGACAGGGGCTGCCCTGTGGCTCCTCCTCCTACCCCCCACCAGGGCCTGCCAGGCCTGCCCCTAGCACATTACAGGCTCCAGACCGCAGAGAAGGAGCTGGAAGCCGGCCCAGCCTCCCTTCTCTGCCAAAACTCTACCTTTCGTGCCAGGGCCAGACAGCCCAGACAATGGGGGGGCGGTCATCGCTACGCTAATAATGAGGCCTCAGGGATGAAGGAGGGGGACTGGGGGAAAGGGTGGGAGAGGGAGGGAGGGGCCAGCTGCCTGGGCTCCACAGATGTACACGGGACACCTTCCAACCACCACCCCAAACACCTGGGAAGATGAGGGCAAGAGCCCCAGCTGACAGGGGGCAGGCGGCGCGGGGCGGGGGGTTAGTGCAGAGAGAGGGAGCGAGGGGGAGGCAAAAAGAAACACACAGAGAGGATTCGTGCAGAGGCAGAGAGAGGTGGGCACCACTGCCCTGATGGAGCTTCTAAAGGAGGCTGCGAGCAGCAAGGCAAAATCCCACTCTGGTCTCAGCCACTTACCAGTTTGTGTAATTGAGGGTAAACATCTCGAGCCATAACTGCCTCAGCCTCATTCATCAAGCAGGGGCGAGCGTGCCCTCGGGGTGCGGTGGGTTGAAGCAAACGCAGGGCTGTGCTCTCCAGGGCCCAGGGCCGCCCGGACTCAGTGTCCGGCTCCACTTGCCTCATTCGAAGCGAGGAGGGAGCAGCCCTGCCATGGAGGCTTGGCCGACCCTCCTGGACACCATTCCCGCCTTTGGGCCTCCTCAAGGGCAGCTTTGGGGACAGGATCATACAAGCACCGTGGTTTGGAGCTTTGGGGGAAACAAACCCTACAAATGCAATTTCCTTGTCAATAATGTACTGAAGGTCCCGAAGCTCCCCGTCCTGGGTGCTCCATGACCCAGATTCACCCACTTTGGACTGAAGGGGGGCTCTTGGAATGAGGTCTAGGTTGGGTGGGTTGGAGACAACCTGACTGGGGTTAGTCTGGGGGTGGTGGGGCAGCGGGAGGAATGGGGCTGTGAACAGCCGCAGGCAGAGGCCCCTTGGAGAGCCAGGAGCATCCTTGCAGCTGCCTCCCCAGTGCTGTGCAAGGCCAGGTGTGTGTGTGTGCATGCGTGTGTGTGTGAAGGGGGAGCCCACATTCAGCCTGCGTGGAGGCTGCTGACACAGAAGAGGAGGAAAACACAAAGTGACAAGTGACCCTCCCACAGCTCCCGCCCACCTGCCTTGGCCTTGAAAAGAGCTTCAAGACTCCAGGGGCGCTTAATCCCACCAGCACCCAGCCCTCTGGCCCCTTAATCCTCTAGGTCGCCAGTTCTCCCCACCCCCGGCGCCCCACGCATGCTCTGCCATATATATATCCCATCTCCCGCCCTGGGCCCCCTCCTGGCTCACTTATGACCTTGGATGCAAAAAGGACCCACTGGATTCTCTCTGTACTGTTGCCACCTAGGGCTCTTCCCCTCCTCTGGGGCAAGGAGTTGGGGGAGAGTTCTGGAAGGAACCCTGGCCCCAGCTGCTGTGCCATCTTGGGCAGATCATTAACCACACTGCCTCACTTTCCCCATCCACCATGTAGTAGGAACTCTCCCTTCCTGGGGCGATGTAAGGTGGTCCCGTCCCCAGCCCTGCGTACCTAAGCATACCATACGCAAATGGGGTCTGGGGAAAGAGACATCCACAACCCACACAGCCCACAGGGGCAGCTGATCTTCAATTCTGCATCCTTGCTCAGTCAAAGGGCTGACGGGAAATTTGGAATCAGGATGAGGCAGCTCACATTTGGGGGGGGGGAGGGGGGAGGTCTGTGCTGTAGGAAGGACCTGGTGACACTGGAAAGAAGGACAGCAGGTCAGGAAATTATAAGTCATGATCCAGGAGAGCTGAACGGAACCTCAGTGGTTTTCAAACTGCTCTGCAGAGTTCTAGGGGCTGGGGGACTTCCAAAGCCCAGCGAGGTGGGGCGGGGGTTGCCAAGCGGCGCCGTTCTGAGTTGTTTTCTGTGTTGGCCTTCTGCATACTGCCTGGTTGAACAGCAACGATGGTGGCTGTGTATGCAGAATACCTGCCAGGTATCAGGTGCTACCTCACTGAAACCTCAGGTCACCCCCCTATGTCCTGGTTTGTCTGGGACAGTCCTGGCTTCTTACACCTACTGTCTGAGCATGACTTTTTTTTTTTTTTTGGTTGTGCCTGCGCAGCTTGAGGGATCTTAGATCGCTGACCAGGGATCAAACCCATGCCCCCTGCAATGGAAGCACAGAGTCCTAACCACTGGACCACCAGGGAAGTCCCTGGGCATGATTATTAACAGTGCCCCTTTCACCCTCAAAATCATCCCAATTTGGATAATAAATTATGTGTTCTCCCCATTTAAACCTCACAACAACCCTACGAGGTAGGTGCTATTTTACATGGGAGAAAAACGAGGCACCAAGAGCAGAGTTGCCCAAGTTTGAAGAGCTGGTAATTGGTGCAGGTGGACTCACATCCACGTGGACGGGC